TGCCTGTCAGTGGCATCGCCTTTTCTGATAGATTTTCTTGAAGATCTAGGGGAAGATTTGATTCATTATAGTACTAATGAACTCATTGTTTGATGACTTTGATTAACGAGACTACAGAAGTTTTTCACTATTATTATGCCCTGGATTTCCTGTTTGATTTGTCCCTCAAATGTAATGGAGACGAGAAAAATACAAAAAAATGAATAAAAATTTAATGCATGAAAAGCTTCAGCCACGACTCCAGCTCATAGATGTCTCTGCACAAAAATATATATTATGACCACATCGATATTAGATTTGTCATTTTTTGATAAAGTTATGCACATTCTTTTTCTTTACTAACTAAGAGATGCCTTTTCCTTTTAATTTATTGAAATGAGGATGCCGCTCGGCTACCAACCATAAAGGCATGTGAATCCATTCCAAATCCATTCTATTAGACCTATCTTTGAAGGATACCTTATGAAGTCTCACTCATTTTCAAGCATGCTCGTAAATACATACACCCATCAATGGAAATGCTCAATCGAACATGGGATATCGAGCTCTGATAGCAGCTGATATAAAGAAATGCAACAAGTTCGTCCAAAAGTTATTGATTATTAGGGAGGTACAATTCATTATGTCACACAGAATCAGACCCGATAACTCATTTCGAGCCCACTTCGTCTGAGCCTGACTTCTAAGAATACCATATAAAAGGTGCCATTGGATTGTAACCAAATATCGATCATTATGATATACCCACCACATTTCAAGCATACTCATGTATTATTTACTTTCTCCTTTTCTTACATGATTTGAGAACACATTGTTAGAACTGTACGAAGTGTCATCATTTTGTATGTTTTCTCTCCAATTATTCCTCGACTAAATTGGGCTTATATTGAATAAACAGTATTCGTATTAAAGTTTCCCAAACATCCCTACAAATATACAAGGAATTGGTAGATGGTCGTTCTTTACCTACGTCGAGAGAGAGCGAGAGAAAAAAAAAAGTGTGTTTGTTAGTTTCTCCAATACACTATGAATCCATAAAAAAGTGGATCTGTAAATCTTATGTTGTATGTGAATTACTCCAATTCTGTTAAAACTGTGTTTTTCTTTCGAACTTGTGCATTAT